AGAATTCCCCAGCCAACATACTGGCTGGGGAATTCTGCGAGTTGAAATCCACACATCTTAAAGTTGCCAAAGTTGAGAAATACTAACCTAAGGAACTGTAATAAAAAATACCCCCCCCACACAAAACCAAAAGAAAATAACCAAAATATAAAACAGCTAATATGTAAATATGAGTGCATTTTATATAGATTATAACTTTTTGAAACAGCAGCCTGATTGCTAAAGTCACTACATAGAAAAGACTTAGTCTGCTATTATTACGGCAGACCTCCAACTACTATACTATGTAAGGGAATGATGACAGTCACCTCTGGAGCGCACCGTCTGTTATGTTGCAGATACAATATAGTAGAATCGTGCTAACGCAGCTAAACTAAGTTACACGTTTACTGCGTTCCAATCAACTTCTCTCCTTCCTGCCCTCCGCAACGCTTTCGTCAAACCCCACAATCAAAAAACATTTTTTTTTAGCTATGTATTCGGAAATATCCAGCTCGACAGATAGCTAAGCTTCACTCATCAATAATGCTCGATTAGAGCGACCCTAATATCTTCCAAACTAGAGCGATGGAAGAGGATTCCCTCCCAGACCTTCTCGCGCTTCAACAGGCCTTACCTCGCTTAGACATTTTGGACAGGAGGCGGAAAAAAAAGAAAGCGCAAAGCTTGCCGGGACAACTAATACGTTTCCAAGCACCCATGTCACGTGAGACTCTCCGGAAACCGGATATAAAATAATCCCCATCTTTAAAAAAATGCCTAAACTAGTAGTAATAGAACGAATTCGTGTTAAAGGGGAATTTAATTGAAGAGGGACCTTAGGGATTTTTTTATTAACTTTCAGACTTTGTTGAATTACTACAGTTCAATTCGGTACATGCTCACTCAAAGGAACGTCCCACTGATTTAAATGGGGCATATTCCCGAGTAACCGAGCTTAAGTTTATTTAAAAAAGCATATCCAAAATGAGTCGGTCATTTTTTAAAAAATTGATCTTAATTATGATTCGAATCCTAATAAAAGTGCTCTTAAGCATGTGTGGAATTAACGTCCAGTTACTATTTATAGTCTCAAAAAGAGTAGCTAAGTCAATCTTTTGCAAAACGGCAAACTATGACAGCTTGAAGATCAACAGTGTGATTGTTGTACAAGATTTAATACATATTTAGAAAGGGAGATGAGGGAAACGAAAGAATGGTTAAAGGAAGAAATGAGGAGTAGCTGTTTAAGACCAAATTTTAAACAGTTTAGGCGTGATAGCATCCTTACATTGAAATGAATTGCTGCCTAGCGCATTTAAATTGTATTAGCATGTTTTCCCATGATTAACTGAACACGGATTACTCAGCTCAGACTCTTGGGTTGACTTGACATATTGAACCATAAACTAACGAATCAGGATGAATTTGTATAACAAACTAGGCTACATGTGAGTGAGTAATTTATGGTTCAGTATGTTATGAAAATGCAGCTGTACAATAATTTTCACCATTCCACTATCTGTTCTATTATTTTCCTCTTTTTCTTCCTCCACCCCAACAATAGCTGTACATATATATAATATTATCCTCTCAGTCCTACACTTGAAGAACATGAGGTGGAGCATGACCAATGAAAATGTCAGTGGTAATAACTGCATTATTTGTTAAGGTGTCAGAAGACTGTTGCCAGAATTCATAACTTCCATGTGTACTGGGCTACAGTTCCCACCATCCCCACTCATCATGTCCATTTGCTATGCTGGCAGGGGACACTTACAGCCAACACGTCTTCAGAACACCAGGCTGCAGATGATTTTTACAATGTAATGCCCATTCTACAGAATCCTATAAGGAATCCCACATCCTTCTCACAGGCTGTGTAATGAACTTTTCAATCCAACATCCAATCCCAGTTCTCAGGTTCAGTCTTGAGAAGTTACACTTTTAATGGTTGCCTTTTCTGAATGGTCAAAATCATAGATATTTAAAATACTGTGATATATGAATTTTTCCTATCATCACTAAGTAAAAAATCAGCTCTATATATTTGTAACCGGATGGAAAGCAAGGGTTGTTCAGACAAAAAATTCAACTGCCAAATAAACTCCACTGTTAAAAAGTTTATATTAATTTGTGGATTGCATCCAAAGCACTAATTAACAAGATTTATAACAATTCCATTGCAAAATGGGGTTTGTGTCTTTGCTTCCTTCCCTTGAAAGAGATCTGTATCAACACAAAAAGCAGG